TAGTATGAAGCATTTATTTAAATTCTGTCTCTTAAAACAATGAAATGCGGATTTACTTGAATTAAACAATTGACTGCTTTTATTGACTCATTGAGAATAAATGCTTGCATTTATTAATTCAACTATGTACATTTATTTATTTATATCAAATGGCAGGCGTTGTGAAAGTTATCATTAGCCCTTTAGTTGACTTCAGGCTTCACAGAGGAGGAGGAACATCAAAGTGAAACAAGTCGAGAGGGAGAGGGGGAACAGAAGAGAGTTTCAAAGATGTAAAAGAGACAGACACAAAAGTGGAAATAGGTGAGATGAGTACTGTGAAAGTAGTCGAATATGACGTACAATGGGGTGAGGGTAGTTTGAAGTCAGAAGTCAGCTACCAGTTAATAGACTTTTTACCGTATGAGTATACGTTGCCCAGGGTGCACCACGTGGAGGTTAGTCTATCGCACACCCCACTATATACATCAGCCTTTGAAAATAAACAGATCCTGACTAGGTTTCTTTAAATGATCCAATTATTTCATTAACAATTCTCAATATCTGTAATAGTTAGAATTTCATAACATTTCCTATACCTTTTCTCTCTGTCTGAAATACGTGTATCTCATATTTAACAATCTCAAATCAAATTTTATCTAAGTAGTTAATGAAGCTTGCACATCAAAAGTCTTACTTTAATAGAATCCTGTAATATTGAACTCTTCCTATTTTGCAAAGGATGGAGAGTTCAAGTTGTCATGCGTAGTGTTCTTTGTTATTTGGCGCCCAAATTCAGTGGTGTTGTATCTACTGTATTCAGAGCTTCTTGACCATTTGATTTTTTTCCCTGGATGCCTGTGTCACTCCTATTTTATAACCAAGGTAAATTGGGACTACTAGATAGGCATTTAACTCTGCTATAGTTCACTACAGCTCACTCACGGTAATCGGTGTTTTTTACCTAGGACCTTGTGAACGAGGAAGCAGACTCAGACCAAGGCAAGAAATACGCCCTTTGGTTGGGAGATGTGGTAGTCCTTGGCAAAGCTGATGATGGTTCTAATCTTGTTCTCACCGCAGCAGCGAAACGTCGTCCTCGCTCCATCTCTCTCTATATTGAGGAAGAGGAGGATGAGAATGAAAGCAATGAGGTGGATGAAAATGAGGAAGGTGGTACCTCCAAAAAACGCAAAATTGATGTTCCTCAGAAAAATGGAAATCAGAAACATGAAAATGGTCATTCTGGAGATTCGACCAATAATGCAGAAGTCGGTCGTGGTCACAGGCGTGCCATTCTTGAACAGAAAACTCGTGTATGTGTGTTCTACTTAAATTGTCTCTTTGTAAATCATTATATAAGTGGTATATATGTATATTTATGTCCTATTGAATTCCCTTTTAAGTAATGTCTTGTCACTGATTTCGTAGAATGAAATTACCTCGGAGCAGAAGAGATTGCAGCAGAGAAGGGATCTTTTTGATAAGCTGCAAATTAATGCTAAAAATCGTCTTCAAGGTCTGAAAACAGATGGAGAGACTGGTCCTAAGTTGAAATCTAATGTGTCTTACAAGGGTGCTGGTCAAATGCCCAAGGAAGATGATGTCAGAAGACTCCGAATCTTTGTTGGTGAGTGCATGTTTAATTCCCACCGAATTGATTGGCTATTTTAACTATGCCTTTTTCTTTCCTAGATAAGAAATACGAGACTGTCATCTTGCCCATCTTTGGCCATCCAACACCCTTCCATATCAGCACGATAAAGAACGTTTCATCTTCAATCGAAGCAGACTACACTTACCTTCGTATCAATTTCCATCACCCTGGAGCTGTAATTGGTCCGAAGGATGCCTCAAATTTCCAGGTTTGTTCTTACTACTTGATCGATTCGATTTAATGGTCTTGTGAATCAGATGGTCACTTAATTTCAATTGATTCATCTACCGCTATTACATTTATTTCTGAAAGACAAATGCCAGTTCAGTTTAAATTCGTTTTGTACAACATTTCACTAGCTTACAATTCAGTTTTTTAGGTGCCAGTAGTGGTTGCGATTTCTCATTTATTCTCTAGGATGTCTGCCTATTATTTTGTTGCCTTCTAGAAAGTAATTAAACCCTAGTATATTTCTTCTCTTAGTATGTACTTAAAAAGGTGAGATTACCGCTCTTGTAAGCTTAGCTTGTTGTGGAGCTCTTTGGGATTTATCAATCGGGGAGTGTAACCGTACTATTCTGTTTTTGATTTTCCAGAACCCTCAAGCCACCTTTTTAAAAGAAATGACTTATCGGGCCTCAAACCAGCGTCATAGCGGCGAGTTAGCAAGCGCATCAACTAACCTCAACAACGCCTACAGAATCATTAAGGAGGTCTTGAAGAAATTCCGTTCACGCGAAGCGGAGGAGAAGGAGAGAGCTAATTTGGTCGAACAGGACAACCTGATCATTGATCAAGGAAAACCTGCATTCAGGCTTCGTGATCTTTACATTCGTCCGAATATCGTTACAAAAAGAATTACAGGTAGATATTATTTAAGTTGAGGATTGTTTAACAACCCCTAAGGTTCGGCCTACATTAGAGTACCAAATAGAAATCACACACACACACACATACACCTCTAGCAAATGGTTGACTTCAGTTTGCGTCTCGACACGTTGAAATACACAACTTTGTAAGTTGTTTTCCTAGGAAACAAAGAGAAAAAAAATATTTGTGAACAATAAATTCCATCTGCTTTTCCTTCATCATGACTTTAATATCTGCAAAGTTGCAAGAGAAATCGCTAAAATGTTTGATCTAGTTTTTACACTACCGGTGGGAAATTCGGTTGAGAAGACCCTTGAAGATCCGAATGATCTTTTAATTTTGATGATGACTTATTAAACTCTGCAGAATCAAATCCTCACTTACTTATGAAGAAATATCGCAGAGGCTCCATGGTGAACAGTGCAATTTTACTTGAATCGGATTGGTAAATTGAATAGGGATAGGCATTTGGTCACGCTACATCAAATCTTCTACTCCATCTAAAGTGATGAGTGAAGAAAACCTGCTTTCATTTGCAGATTTAACAACAAAGAATGCATTCTTGTTTCAGTGATTTCTTACTAAGCCTGAGAAGTGGATCGATTACGGCAGCATTGATGGGAAAACTCTTCTCGCGTTCAAATCAATCACATTCTAGATCCATAAAGCGAAAAATGCCCACCTACGAAATTCGGGAATTAATTTGGGAGATTAAACCGCTTTATAAATATTCGCATACTTTAAGAGCAAAACGACCTCGAAATGCCACTGAAGTTGAAAGTGTCTTGAATGAGTTTCTATTTAGATGCGTAATTTTATGTTGAAAAAGAGTCCATAATTATTTGAATAGGAGAAATGGGAAAGCAGTTGGAAAAAGGTGCAAAATAAATGTTGGGAATGTTTTAGAAATAGATAGTGAAATTGAAGCATTTTTGGCACTTATGAAATAGATTACATTGTGTTATGCATTGAAGTTCTTGAACATCTTTGTACAGGTTGCTATCATCATCTTCGACTCGTTGAAGTGGTTTCAGAACTTCAGTGTTTGGTCGTTGTCAGTCACGGTCTTGATTATCGCATTACACTTTATCACCCTCTATGAAAAAGGCATTTTCTTAGCAAATTAGTTATATCTTTACACTTTTGTGTCCGTTTAGGAACATTGGAGGCCCACAGCAACGGTTTCCGTTTCACATCAATTCGGGGTGATAAGGTGGATATTCTTTACAATAACATCAAACACGCCTTTTACCAACCCTGTGATGGTGAAATGATCATCCTCCTACACTTCAACCTCAAGGCTAGTTTTTTTGTTAAAAAGTTTATCGATGTTCCTTTAAGCAATAAGAATGGATGTATTACCTTTGTTCGTTCTTTTGCTTATAGAATGCCATAATGTATGGTAAAAAGAAGCAGGACAACATTCAATTTTACACCGAGGTTGGGGAACTGACAACAGATTTGGGTAAAACCCACGGTCGAATGTACGATAGGGATGATATCGAGACGGAACAGAGGGAACGAGAAATGCGTGAAAAGATTAAATCCGCTTTCAAAAGCTTTGTCGATCGTGTGGAAACCCTCGCCAAGCGCTATAACTTCGAATTTGAGATGCCCTTCCGAGATCTTGGTTTCCATGGCTGTCCTCTGAGGTTTTTGTCTCCTTTATGTTACTCTAATTCTTATGAGTAGAACTTGTTTACTTTAGCCTGTTTTCTTCCGCAGAACAACTGTATTCCTAATGCCGACAAGCTCCTGCCTTGTTAGCCTGAGTGAATGGCCACCGTTTGTAATTTCTTTGGATGAAGTGGAACTTGTGATGTTTGAGCGTGTCTCCTTCTCAATTAAGACCTTTGATATGATCTTTGTGTTCAAGGATTATCGAGCGAAACCGGCTATGATTGCTTCCATTCCCAGTGCCTCATTGGATCATGTAAAAGAGTGGGTGCTCTCTTGTGACATCTACTATGCAGAGGGTGTGCGTTCCATGAATTGGCCCAAACTCATGAAGACAATTATTGATGATCCTGCAGACTTTTTGGCGCAGAATGGATGGTCCTTCATCTCTCCTGATGTAAGTCATTAGTAGCTATTTCTTCGTTATTGTTTTGGAGTGAATAATGATTAATGTACTGAAGCAATGGGCAATACTATCTTTACACTGCTCCCACCTGATTAAAAGAATGAGGTTGAAGATTTGGAAAGCCAAGAATCCCCGCTGATCCTCTTTGTGCGTTTTCTTTCATAGCAATCAGCTATATTTGATCTTTAGAAAAATATAATGTGTGAAAAGAACTATAACCGTTGTTTAAGATAAGAAATTTTGCTCCTTTGTCGCATCCAGTGGAGATCAAACTTTCGATTCTTATTGACGTCCTCTTTTGTTGATAGATTGTATTACGTTGGTATTTTGTGGTGTGGAGATCTTCGAATAGATGTATTTTTCGTCCCTTTAATTGTGTTTCTAGGAACTTTGCCAAGATAATACTTTATCTTAGAGTCTTTATGGTGGTTGCATCAACTTTGTTTAGTGCTTTTAGTGAGATTAGCACTATCAAATGCTATGCGTTTCTGTTTTTTTTGAGTTTGCTCTACTTATATTGTTATAGTAGCACATTTTATATTATCCGGATCTCTCTTAGGATGACGAAGAGGATGAGAATGAGGAAGACACGGATCCTGAGGATGAAAGCTACGAACCTTCAGAGGATGAAAACGAAGAAGGGGATGATGAAAATGGTGATGAAGACAGTGGAAGTTGCTACGCTGAAGATGGTGATGAAGAATCGGACTGGGAGGCAGAACAGGAGTCCTCTTCTGAGGGTTCTCTCGATTCTGACGAATCAGAGGGAAAGGATTGGGACGAACTTGAGCGTGAAGCTCTGAGAGGTCTGTGTTTTTTAATTATTTTAAGAAGTCGAGCTCCCTTGGCGTTTCAATGATTTTAAAATAACAATTGCTCTTCGTCCTTGATTTTTAATCATTATTACATTAATACGGAATTATGCCTATATTTCATTGAAACAGTTTTACGGTGCATCTATTTCCCCATATTGTAGAGGATCGTAGACACGAGCATGACGAAACGACGAAGTCAAGGAAACGGAAACGATCACCGAGTCCTCGACCTGTCGCCAAGAAATCCAAGCACTCCCGTCGCTAAGTCCATTATATTGGGCTCGCTTTTACGTGAATCTCTCCCTCCCCCCCCCCTCCACCTTTATCCCCTATTTGTCTAATCTCTCTCCCCCCCCCCATATTCTTCAATCATTGCGTATGTCTGTATGGATTTTCCTAACAGTGCAAAGAATGGCTACAACTCCAGTTTGAATATTTTAAAGCTTAAATATAGAGATTAATACATTTTCATACGTAAGAATATTGTCTTGTGTATATTTTCTTGGTATCTTGAATTACTTTTGTGCTTCTAAAGCTTTGGTGTTCACTCCGTGAGCATAATGGCCAACCTCACTGATTAGAGCTGGACGTTGAA